ACCACTGAACTTACACAGTGAGCCTGTGCTCAGACTGAGTGTTCATGTGGATATCGTACCAGAGGGCCATAAAGCTTTGAACATGGGTCTTGAGTGGTCTGTGCACAAGTCCATCTTTAGATGTAAAACTGCTCAGTTGCTTACATCTCCCACCTGGTCTCCCTGGAGTCTCCTCTGTGTGTCTACCATCCAACCAATGTGAACCCCGGTCCCTAAGTACACGCATGTGTTCCACGTAAGACTGTTGCTTGTGCTGCTCTCCTCTAGCTTAGCTACAGAAACCTTACACACCCTGAAAGCTCATTTTATTATTTTTATTTGTGTGTGATAAGTGTGTGGTGTGCATGCATGTGTGTATGTATGTTCATGTGTGTGTGGATGTGTATGTGTATGTGTGCACATGTATGCAGAGGCTTGAGGTAGTTGTTGGGTGTCTTCCTCATTGCTCTACACTTTATTCATTGAGGCAAAGTCTCTGGCTGAACATGGAGCTTGCCAATTGAACACGGAGCTAACCAGCATGCCCTGAAGATCCTGTCTCTGCTTCATGAGTACTGGGATCACAGATAGCCTGCCCCATTTATTTATTCTCTCTCTCTCTCTCTCTCTCTCTCTCTCTCTCTCTCTCACACACACACACACACACACACACACACACCTGTATACATAAGTGCCACAATGCATGTGTGGAGGTCAGAGGACAATTTGTAGGAGTCAGTTCCATGATATCGGGGCTTGAACTCAGATCATCAGGCTTGGCAGCAAGTGTCTGTACCTGCTGAGTCATCTCACCAGATCCCAGCCTTTACATGGGTCCTGGGAATCTGAACTCTGGTCTTTTCACTTGCAGAGCAAGTTCCTTATTCATTGAACCATCTTTCTAGTCCTTTGAAGGTATATTTTAAACACAATATTCTTTCTTGGGGCTAGAAAGATGGTTTGGTGGTTAAGAGCACTGGCTGCTCTTGCAGAGGACCTGGGTTCAGTTCCCAGCACCTACATGGTAGCTAACAATTGTCTATAACTCTAATTCCAGGGGATCCATCACCCTCTCTGGCTTCTGTGGGCATTGCATGACAAGGGTACACTTATATACATGCACATAAAGCACTCATACACATAAAATTTAAAAAATTAAAAATAAACATAATATTCTTTCTAGAGCCATTTCTGTCTTCCTTGAGTTAATCTTATTTCTTGCTTAACCCTAGATGAAAAATATATTTATTCATGTATGCTTGTTTTCTTGCAAATTATCTGCCTCCCCTGCCAGGATATACGAGCAGGAGGGAGAGATCTGGTTTGGAGGCTCCAGATTTGGGATATAGTAGGTGATTGGTAAGTGTGATAGAATGAATGAATGAATGATGGATTAATGAATGAATAAAGGAAGAAGTAGCTGTTTTCTTGCTCTGCGTCATGCCACAGTTCAGTGCAAGTGTGATTAGCACAAGTAGAGCACAGACACCCACCAGATGCTGGGTTCAGTCTTGGATGAGGGTTCAGAAGGCTGGGCACTGGGTCATGGGGAGGACAGACGACATTTTGGAGGAGCCATTGCAATGGGGGAACTGAGGGGAACACAGAGTAGTGGCTCTTTTGTTTTTAGACACAGAGATATTTTGGTGTTTTACGTGGGTATGATCTTGTGCAGCCAATGCGATGTTTCAGTCCTGCAAGCTGATTTGTATTCTGCAGAGTAATCTACAGAAGGGGTCTGGGGAGCAGTGATAGGGCAAGGCTGAGTGGCCAGCAGGTATAGACAGAACTGCGGAAAACACAGAAGATGGGAAGGAGGGCCAGTAGGGAGACACTCAGTAGGCAAGGAAGGCCTCTGGCCAAGCAGTGCATGATCTGAGAGTTGGAGGAAATGTGAGGAGACACAAGGAGGCCTGAAGCCTTCTATGTCTTAGGAAGCAGGGTGATATTGCCACCATCCTGTACTCAGGATGGAGGCAGGTCCAGGGGCCTCTTGGTGTTCTCGGCCTTTCTGGTTCTTTCATTGTCCTGTGGGTGGTCAAGGAATCATGGAGGGCTAGGGAGATGGCTCAGTGGTTAAATTGCTTGCTATCCAAGCGTGAAGGCCTGAACTTGGATCCCCCAGTACTCACATAGAAGTCAACTGAGGCAGCGTGTATCTGTTAACCCCATGCTGGGGTGGTATTACAGAGGGGAGAGGATCTCTGTCTAGTTGAAATGTTGAGAGACCGTGTCGAAAATAATTAGGTGGAGAGTGATAGAAGACACCCAGTGTCAACCTGTGACCTCCACATGGGTATGCATACACAGGTGAGAGCATCCTTATACATGTGCACAACACACACAGACACACGTGTGCATGTGTGCACAAAAGGAAGGGAGACTTGAAGAGGAGATTAGGACCAGAGGGATGAGACTACAGGAGAAGAACATTCCAGGGCCTGGGATTAATTTAGGCCATGTACCAATTGGTACAGAAATATTTCCTCATTTTAGCAGATGGCGAGGTCACACTACTGTGTGGCTACATTAATATCACTGGAGGGAAACACTGGAGGTGGACGTCTCATGCTGAAGTGGCACCAGAGAGATTTTTGTCCAAGAGCAAAATGCTTTTCATAGCACCGTGAAGCAACGGTAAGGTTGTTAGGTCAAAAGGTCTGTACTAACTGGACTGTATGAAAACTAGGGAACAGGACCTCAGTAAATACATACTGACTGACTTACAAGACACTGATTAGATAAGAGAGGCTATATAAAATAGGCATGTATATGAACATTTCCACATCCACAGTGGAAGAGTACAATAAACAGCACATTGGATGTACAGGGCCATCCCAGTGTAAAACACCCAAATGTCTCAGCATCTAAGAGTAACGAACAAAACAACAAATTTGTGCTTTTTTTTTTTTTTTGTCTTTTTGAGACAGGGTCTCCTTGTAGCCCCAGCTGTCCTGGAACTCACTATGTAGACCAGGCTGGCCTCGAACTCACAAAAATCCGCCTGCCTCTGCCTCCCAAGTGCTGGGATTGAAGTCATGCGCCACCACGCCTGGCAAATTCATATTTTTTTATACTGATTATACAAATCACAAGGTAGCTATTGTGTCTCGGCCCCAATTTAGACACATGGATATAGAGACTTAGAAAAGCTGAATGACTCATTCAATCTCACAAGCACCTGAGAATCAAATATTCTTCTGGCTTCTAATTCTAGTATTTATGATACATTTTTCATTGAATGATGTGATAAATGCTAGATTTTCATTTTTCTCTAGATATTTTAAGTAGGAATTCCTGGATGATATCCTCCATGTGGAGAAATTTAACCAGTACTGGGACATTTTCAGCCAACTCTGTGCAATGCTCATTCGTATTTTCTTGGGCACAAATGGAGTTTTTCTTTTTTAATTATTTATTACTTTTGTTTTATGTATATGAGTGTATTGCTTGCATATAGGTAGGTGCACCCATGTCATGTCATGCAATGCTAATGGAGGTCAGTCAAACACATCAGATCCTGTGGAACTGGAGTTATGGACAGTTGTTAGCCGCCAAGTGGGTGTTGGGAATTGAACCCTGGTACTCTGCAAGAGCAGTTAGTGCTCTTAACTCCTAAACCATCTTTCCAACCCCACAAATGGGGTTTTAAATTCCCTTCAGGAGGTAAAACCTGTTTTCCCTTCCTGATTAAAGGAAGTTTCTGACATGGTATACTTTAAAGGAGATCCAGGAACCCAAAAGTATACCTAGAAAACCATATTTTCCCTCCAGACATTTTATGAGGGAATGAACTGACTGGGGTAGAAAGGAATGGACTATCCATAACTTTCAGTTGAATTGTTTGGTTAGGATGATAATTTATGGGCAGAGGAGGACAGCAACCTTGTCAGGCAACGCGATGACTCTGAGAGGTTAAGTAATTTGGCTGACAAGTAAGGGCAGGGTGAGTTGCCTTCAAGCAAAGGATCCAAGATGAATTGAAAGTCCTCCTAGCAAGTACCTATTTTGTTGCCTCTGAAGATGTGGTTCTTTTGAGGTTCTCAAAACCTCCGTAGTGATCATTTCTTGCCACCACATAGACAGAATAACACTCCTAGATTAAATGTTCTGAGCTATCCTCCAATCAAGAATAAGAAAACACCAACATAATTTAGAAAATTCTGGAGACTCATAACTCTCAACTTCCCTCTACTGTCATTGGCAAGACTTTTGACAGATCTGGAAATCTTAATTAGGGGGAGAGATGAGCGAGTCAAATATGGTTTTTTAAACAGAGGCACACATTGAAATATTGAATTCAATGGGTTTGAAGAAGTAGCCACTAGGATATTCCAACATCTTGATTAAGAAAAAAAAATGACAACATGCAGAAGTCTAAATCAGTAGGTATGGAATGTAGGCAGAATTGGGGGGGGGGGTATTTCAAGAGATTCAATTCTTACGTCTGTTTTATAGCAGATTTCCAGCGACAAAAAACCCTGAAAATTCCTGTCAAGTCTTTCTTCCTCAAACACTGAGTTTAACACTGACAAGTTTAACCAGACAAGTGGGAGGGCAGTTTTGCAGTGGCAAGATCTAGGTCACTGGTGTGGTTTCAGATGTGGCTCCAAAGGACAAGCATTACAATAGCTCCTTAGTGCTAACCACAATGACTGAGAGACCAGATAGTTTTTTTCCCCCACTTACTAGGTTCCTCTCTGAAAAGCAGACAAAAATAACCCCACACTTCTAAGCCTCCAGCCAAGCCTCTTAACATTGCTCCTCCATGTAAAGCTAAATGTGTAGTCTGAACTGACCTCTTCTTAGGGGTGTTTAGTCTTCACTAAACTGCTTTGCTAGGAAGGCTCCGGGTGGACAGGAAAACACAAAAAGGACAACATGGCGAAACCTAGGCAGACACTAGCCAGAATTTGTGAAAGATGACACTTGGAATGTCAGAGCTGGGATGTCTGCATTGAAAAGTCCCCATCCTAAATGCCTGGGCTAGCAGAGTCTTGAAGTTTGTTCAAAATTCTTACCTCAAGTGCAGGAAATGTCCAAAGCTGGAGAGCACCTTCAATTCTGTCTTTGAAGCTGGCCTGTTCTCCACCTTATGCCTTGAACTCAGCTGCTGAAACGTCAAGATAATTAAGTCTGAGTCATTTCAGCGGTAGATTTTTTTTTCAGATGACTCTTTCAAAATGTGATACTACATAATTGCTTCACTACAATTACCCAATGGCATGAATGAATGCTACAGTCTCTGCCTAGATGAACAGACAATACCACCTACGCAATACTTACCTTCCTATAACAATACATACATGTAAGATGTAGTCTCTCTCTCTCCCTCTCTCTCTTTCTCCAAACTTCGTGAATTTTTTTTGACTGTTTTACTCAAATGATTAAGAAAAGAGTTCCAATATATTGAAAAAGATGTTAGTTTTTATTGAACTAGATCAGGATATAGCTCAATGGTAAAGTGCTTGACTTCTGTGCCTAAGGCCTGGTTTCCATTCCCAGTACCACTGCAAAACAAATTGAAATATTAAGTTAAAAGAAGAGGATGAATTTTTCTTTCTGGAAAAATAAGCCAGGTCAGGGTGCCTACAGAGGATGGCTCCAGTGTGGCAGAGAGTACCTTCTGGGCTTTAGGTGGATCCAGGATTCAATCAAGAAGCATGTGGCTTGATAATCAAGCCAACTTAATTAGCATCTTTATCATTCAAGGTAAGGCCACAGATGGCATCTCTAAGTGTCTGCTCCATTTCAGAATGCTACTAATGACTTCCTGTCCCAACATTTCTTTGACATAAGCTGTGTGTGTTTATCAACTACTTTGTATCTTGATATTTTTGATTTCTAACCCCCCCAACTCTATCTCCATGTTTCAGCCAACGTATTTGCCTTTTCTTCGTTCTTGAAAGAGGCCTCTCTGTGTCGCTCAGACTGGCTTTGAACTCATGATCTTCCTTCCTTGTCTCCCAAGAGAGAAGTTTAGAGGTGTGCACCACCACACCCAGGTAGTTGGTGCGTTCTGAATGGCCAGGGATTGACACATATGAAGTGTATGTTTTATCTATATTTAAAGAATTTTTTTTGGTGAGATAGTGTTTCTAACTATCTTCATTTTTTGATGGACATAAAAAGTATTTTTTAAAATTTTTATTTGTTATTTTTATTTTATGTGTATGAGTGTATTGCCTGCATGTATGTGAGTGCACCCGTGTCGTGCAGTGCCACAGAGGTCAGAAGAGGGCTTCAGATTCCCCTGAAACTGGAGTTAAGGACGGTTCGTAGCCACCATGTGGGTACTGGGAATTGAACCTGGGTCTTCTGCAAAAGCAGTCAGTGCTCTTACCCGCTGAGCTATTTCTCCAGCCCCCATAAAAAGTATTTTTAACCATATATATGCTTTTTAATTAAATGTTCTAGCTCCTCCAAGGTGCACGATTTTCAGTACTACAGGCAGGACAGCTTGAGGCAAGTCAGGAAGTTTTGTTACTCTAGTGAGAGCAGCAGGGACACTCATTGGCCTTATTCATATTTCTGCCCATTTCAAGTTTCTCATCAAAATCCCTTGAATTATAGTTAACTGTTTAAGTTGATTTCCCTTCCATGTAAAATGGGGTTAAAAATAGTATCTGCCTGAATAGGCTCTGGGATAGAGTAACATTGGTAACATGAGAATGAACTGCTAAAACTGTGAAGCTGGAAAACTTTGTGTGTGGCCTTGACATGAGCCTGGAGACTGTCATCATAGACAAACACATTCATTCAATCAACAAGAATCTATTAAGGACTTAGTGTGGGCAATGCCCTCTTTAGCAAAAAGGTAGAAATAATCTCTGCCCACATGGAGTTTATGATCTAGGAGATGAAAACAAAATGAATACATGAATAAAATAGGACAGTATAGATTGTAACGTGCTATTCTATATATTGGCTGTTGGCTGTCCCCCTTATGTTTTAAAGGCTTAGTCTTCATGTGGCACTATGAGAAGTGATGGAACCTTTGAGAGGAGAGATCTAGTAGGAAATCCTTGGGTTACTGGAGGCATGCCCTTGGAGGGGATTATGGGACCCTGATTTTTCTCCTTTCCTCTCTCTTGCTTCCTTGCTTTGAGGTGAGCAATTTTGTTCCACCACACACTCCTGTCATGTCACAGGTCCAAGCCAATGATGCCAACCTGTCACAGACAAAAACCTCTGAAACTGTGGGTCAAATAAACCTTTCCTCTTTATAATCATCTTAGGTAAGTTTTATGGTAATGGAAAGCCAGCTAACATATATTATGAAGGAAACAGGGAATGTAGTTGGAGAGGTAACTTTGCAGTTAGTAGAGTGATGCAGTTGGGGGAGGTGAGCTTACTTTGTCAGGACCTCATAATCAAACTGTATTCTTATATAATATTCTTGTAAGCTTGAGCTAATTGAAATTTCCTCTTGTTTTACTTACCAGATAGACAATCTTAAAAACCTCAACCCTGCTGGGCGTGGTGGCACATGCCTGTAGTCCCAGCACCTGGGAGGCAGAGGCAAGCAGATCTCCATGAGTTCAATGGCAGCCTGGTCTACATAGTGAGTTCCAGGACAGCTTGGGCTACAGGGAGACCCTGTCTCAAAAAGACCGAAAAAAAACAAATCCCAAAACCAAAAAACCTCAACCCTATAATGTTTTACTAGTCAGTGATGTTTTATTGCTCTGTAATATCTTGAAGCTTTGTGATGTTTTCCGTGTATCATGTCTAACTACTGATAAAGATGTAAAACTAAGAAAATGGAAAGTTCAATAAATGGGTTAATGAGGCACTGGGTTCAGTTAGTCCAAGTGTAGCTCGAGCATGTTAGATATCTAAACTTCTGTCAGTGATATCTGTTTTTGTAAGCTGCAATGACTGACTGATTCCTAGCCCAGTTAGCCTGGCCTAGCTGTAGATCAAAAGGCAGTAGCTGTCCTGATCCGTGCCTATGATATATAATTTGTAAACTATAAGGACCAGGTGAACTTAGGAAGGGATTTTCTTGAGATAACATGGAACATCAGAGTAAAGAGCCAGAGGGCCCAGGTAGGAAACATTAAATGATGTGAAAAGTCCTATATAACCTAACTTACATATTGCTCTGGGGCCAGAAAGTCTTAAAGCCTTGGTTGGCAGTTCTAGGTCCAGATGCATGTGATAGAATAAACGAGCTTTCCAGCTCTCCTGGGTGAATGCTTGATCCCTTAGCTGTTCAAATAACTTTTCTGTAACAGGATGTGGATCCAGACAGGCTTCTTTGAGGAGGTAGTGTTTTGAGCTCTGACCATTAAAAGCCAGGCAGATTACAGTACTGATGGAAAAAGTGGAAGGACCGGCAAAGGTGGGCCAGTGTGCCTGGGATGGTGTGAAGGTAGGCCCAGGGGTATTAGACACTGAGGGGGTGACAGGAGGTGTGTGCACAGTTGGAATCCAGGGGAGAGGCTTGCTGGAAGCATGAATTTCAAGTTAACATCCAGAAGTGAAAGACCTCATCTGGGACGGGACCCAGATCCTGGAAGTCTGGGAGATAATTTCAGCTGCTACCCAAGTAAGCACATGAAATTATACTGATTCTTTTTATTGCATTAGAAAAAATGCTGGAGCAGATATGGAAGATGAATGATGTCACACATCATGGAATAATTCATAAAATAGTTCTAAATATTTATGTCCTTTCTTTGTGGTCTTCCTTGGGTGGCACCAACAGTTTCTTTGCTTTCCTACCTATCTCCTTTTTAGTGTTAATTTTTCTTCATTCTTGAACATTCCATACATATATACAATGAAACATGATCACATCCACCCCTTTTTTTCTCTTCCAACTCCACCCCACAAATCCCCACCAATATGGCCTCCTCCTTCCTAACTTAAAGCTCTCTCTCTCTCTCTCTCTCTCTCTCTCTCTCATAAGCTACTAAGTCTAATTAGTGCTGTCCATATGTTCATGGGTGTGAGGCCATCCACTAGAACATGGAAATCTATCAGTGGCCACACATTAAAAAAAAAAAAGATTCTCTCCTCCACCAGCAGTTATCAATTGCTAAGATCTCTTCAATAACAGATGGGGTCTAGAGAGCATGTTCCCCTCCCCCCGCAATGCCAGAATTTTGACTGGATTGATTGTGTGCAGGCCACCTCAGCCGATGTGAGTTCGTGAGTTTGATAGCCATGTCCAGTTTGGAAGGCGGTATTTCATAGCACTTCTCGCTATAATCTGGCTCTTACATTCGTTCTACCTCCTTTTCCCTGATGCTCCCTGGGGGTGGTGGTTTGTATGTGTGTATGGGGCAGGGGTTTGAAAAAGATGTCTCATTTAGAGTTAAGCAATTAGTCTCTTATTCTCATCAGGTTGACCAGTTATGCATCTGAATACTGACTGTTGCCCACTGCAGAAAAACTTCTGACCAAGATTGAGAATAGCCCAGGGCTATGGGTATAAACATAAATATTTAGAAGGCAATTTGATCAGTTAGCCAAATAACAATAGCAGGTTCTACTCTAAGGTCTGTGACCTCCCCAGGCATGGGCTTTTGACCAGGATTACAGTACCAGGCATAAAATTACCTCCTGTGGAGTAGGCCTCAAAGCTTTTAGTTATCCCGTAACAGCTGAACCACTACTGTGCCACTGGGCACATCTTGCCTGATAGGTTGGTTTTGTAACATGCAGAGTCCAGTGCTCGGTAAGGTCATTGATATCTTTTCTCCCCCAGCAGTCTGGCACTATGAAAGCCAGACAGCAGGGAGAAAGTTTCCTCATCAGTTTGAGATTGATCTCTATGTCCTGCAGCACAAGTGTGCCTACCTCTTTCTTTTTAGGAAGTATTCAAGTTTAGTTTTCATTGTGACAGTCATCCCTCAGTGTCCATGGGGCATTGGCTCCAAATCTGCACTCAATAAATTCTGAACTTGTTGAAGTACCATATATCAAATGCTGTATTATTCCACATAATCTAATTACATCTGCTGAGTCCTTTAAGTCACCTCTATATTCACAGACCATGTAAATGCAGTGTAAGTAGCTGCTATGCTATATCATTGAGGGAAGAGTCAGTACAGATACAATTTTTT